CGACCTGGGAGATGTAAGACAAATAAACCCTTTCCTCCCCAAGTTGGTATTGGTCAGAGTGTTTTGTCACAGCAATGGAGAACAAACTAAGACAAATGTATAGGGAGATACTCAGTGACAGGGTCACTGATATTCATTATAATATTACTATGCCTTGTAATTTATTATCTATATTCTTCTACATGCTAAAAGGCATAATAAAAATAGGTTAAAAATAAAAAGATCTTTGGTTCTCATTATCTGTATGATCTTGGGTCAATTCTTTTGCTTAAGTTTCTCCAACTATAAAATAGAAATAATGCCTCCTCCACCTACCTGCTGGGGTTGTGTGAGGACTAATGGGTCAATGCAGGTGCACTGCAGCAGTCAGCACACTCTGTGTACAGTCTGCTGCTGTTATCTAGTAGCACCTGCTTTCTGAGGTGCTTTCAAGATACTGAACTAGAAACAGTGGTTATAGGAATGAGTCTACAAGGCAGAAGATACAGAGTAGAAAGTCATTAGTAATACACAATTGTTGACACTCTGAGTTAAGATGGACATGGGAAATCTTTAGAAGTGTGCCAAGGCAGACTGAAGAAGGGGAGCTCCAGAAGAGCCTGAGAAGAACAAGAAGGAGAAGAGATCAGGGACTGTAAGAAAAGCAGGAGAAGTACCTAATGGTATTACATGTTTCAAGAGAAGGCAGTAGGCTAAGCATGGTGATGCATGCCCTGCAGTCCATCCCAGTACTTAGGTTGAGGCCAGCCTAGGCTACAAAGTTGAGTACCAGGCCAGATACTGTGACATACTAAGACCTAGTCTCAAAAGATGAGAGACAGGAAGGGGAGGAAGATGAAGGCTAAGTTGAATGACAAGAACTCTTACAATTAAAATCATACTTTGAGAGTAAAAGATAGGTAACTGAGATGGAGAAGGAAAAGTTGAGAGGTAACCAAGACTGACATGAACAGGCAAAAGCACATAAAAAGCCAAAGTTCAACAGAAGAGTACTTCATTGATTTTACTATTAACTATAATGTACTTCATTGATTTTACTATTCATTCAATCATTCATTCATTCATGGCAGTACTGGGGTTCAAACCTAGGATCCTGTACATGCAAGGCAACCACTGTACCACAAAACCACATCCAGGCTCTCATGGGTTATTATCTGAAGATGATTTGCCACTGTGCAACTAGTCTGCATGTGAAATGCTTCAGTACACAACTTGCTTTTACTATCACTCTTACACATATGTATCTGCCAAAAAGTCCACAGAGGCTAAGAGAAGTTAACAAGAGCCAAAGTGGACAAATCTGTCCCTATGGGTATTTTAAATACATGCATGCAGGACAACACTCATACATATAAAACAAAACAAAACAAAATCATATGCTTCTTCTGAGAAAGAAGCTACATTATATTTTATTTTGGACATGCCATTGATTTTTTGATAAAAGAAAGAGGGCTGTTCATTTTCTTAATTTCAGTAATTTACAACCTATTTTGCTATTTTTAAAATTTTTTAATATCTTATTATTTTTATTTCATGTGTATGCGTATATTGCCTGCGTGTGTAGGTAAGTGCACCCGTGTCGTGCAATGCCCGCGGAGGACAGAAGAGGCTGTTGGATCCCCTGGAACTGGAGTTATGGACAGTTGTTAGCTGCCATGTGGGTGCTGGGAATCGAACCTGAGTCTTCTGCAAGAACAACCAGTGTTCTTAACCGCTGAGCCATCTTTCCAGCCCTTACAACCTATTTTAAAAGCACTAAGCCAGGTGGGGTAGTGCAAGCCTTTAATCCCAGAACTCAGGATTAAATAACTTGCAGGGCTACATAGTAAATCTCTATCTCAAGCCCACCCCAACCAAAACAAACCAAAAAAAGAAAAAAAGAAAAAAAAATCACTCTAAACTTGCTAAAGTTAGTTTGAAAAATAAATATTTGCAGAGCTCTAATTTGTCAGGCAGAAGTAATTTCACATGGTTCTCTTTTGTCCTCAGACTCTAAACATTTGACCACTAGTTCTGGCGACCACAGACATTCACTAGTTCTGGTTTTGTGAGTGGGTGTCTAGCAAGCTGTGAGTTTACTAATGCCAAGCTATGGACACTCGTTCTGAAGTGAAATGTCTTTTACATTAACAGAACACAGGAAATCATAAGCATGTCCTCACCCCTTCACTAGTTTTCTGCAGATCTGAAGTCGTGTTTCTTGTGTCATTGCCAGCATCTCCACCCTCAGAGCTGCTTTTGTTTTCCTCTTCTTTGCAGTCTTTATCATCTTCATCTCCTGGAGATTTCCGGGACTGTTTAGAAGATTTCTAAATATTTAGAAAAGTTAGAAATTAGAGTCAAAAGCAGAGCTCCAAGTGAACAAGTAGCTGACTTGCACATAGTCCTTACGGCTCAGTGTGATATGTACAGAAAACGTGCAGAATGCTAAAGCTAAATGAGGTTAATACTGCACAAATCATTTCATGTCTGTGAACTTCGGTTTACCTAGTTGGAAAGGAAGCAAATGTCAGCTTCTTTGAAGAAGTATAATATTAAAAACTAGAAGATAAAGATACCCCCACAATGACTGACTATACCTGGGTGGTTTCCTACCACCTTAGAAGACGACAGCTCTGGGAGGCATTCTCACAATGAGCTTCCATTTTCAGAGCTCTTCTCTATCACCTCACAGTAGTGGAAATCAAGTAGTGGAATCAAGAGGAATAAACTTCCAAGACAACATATGGACATTCAAGGAAGAATACGTCTTGAAGCTGCTTGGTTAAGGGTATACACAGGAAGACCCTGACAAAGCTTTTGTGTCACAGTGTGATATAAACCAATATAAATCCTTTAAGATTAAATTTTTTTTTGGTCTTTTTGAGACAGGGTCTCTCTGTAGCCCCAGCTGTCCTGGAACTCACTATGTAGACCACGCTGGCCTTGAACTCACAGAGATCTGCCTGTCTCTGCCTCCCGAGTGCTGGGATTAAAGGCATGCGCCATCAGGCCTGGCAAGATTTATTTAATTTTCCCTGTGTGAGCGTTTTCCTTGCATGAATGAATGTGTGCCATGTGCTAGGGCATCAGATCCCTTGGAACTATAGTTATATATAGTTGTGAGTCATCATATGGGTTCTGGGAACAATCAACCCAAGTCCTCTCCAAGAGCAGCAAGTGATCCTAACTGCAGGGTCATCCCACCAGGCCCCAACTTAATCTTTTAACCTATGGAGAATTACTTAAGACTCAAGGCTATACTGGTGAACCAGTCCTTTTTCTTGTCATCCTGCATTTGAAATCAAGATGAACTCTAGAGGAAGATGAAAATATAATCATAGTTTGCAGCAAAAATCACTTGTACTTGTCCTAAAATTAGAAAAAGTTGGTTATAATTGTGTACCTTATTTGTGATAGTGAAATGCAACTCTTCCATTCCCTCTTTAAAGAAAATTCTTCCAATTTTTAATAATTATATTTATTTACTCTGTGTGTGTGTGTGTGTGTGTGTGTGTGTGTGTGCGTGTGCGTGTGTGTAGTCTAACTTAGGACTTCAGGCTTGGTAGTAAGTGTCTTCACTGAGCCATCTTGATAGCAGCTCTTTAAGAAGTTTTAAGGTCTGGAGGTGTAGCTCAGTTGGTAATGCTTGCCTAACATGCAGGAAACCCTATATTTGCCCCATATATACTGGGCATGGGGGAAGGAAGGAAAGAAAAGACAAGACACAAATGAATAAAATGTTAGGGCTCTCATCTGGGAGGTTGCCTCATATGCAGAAGGCCCTAGGTTCAATTCCTGGAACTGTGAAAAAATATCAGCAAAAAATTAAAATTGTTTTTTTTTGTTTGTTTGTTTTTTTTTTTTGTCTTCTTGAAGCAGGGTCCCCTGTAGCCCCAGCTGTCCTAGAACTCACTATGTAGACCAGGCTGGCCTTGAACTCACAAAGATCCGCCTGCCTCTGCCTCCCAAGTGCTGGGACTACAGGCGTGCGCCACCACGCCCGGCTCTAAAATTGGTTCTTAAATGACCACAGAAGTTACAATCTTGAAAGAAATGTAAAGGAAATAATCTTTTTATTTATTTATTAGTTTTATTTTATGTGTATGAGTGTATTGCCTGCATGTAAGGGAGGGAACCCATGTCATGCAATGCTGCGGAGGTCAGAAGAGGGCTTCAGATTCCCCTGGAACTGGAGTTAAGGACGGTTTGCAGCCACCATGTGGGTGCTGGGAATCAAACTTGGGTCCTCCGCAAGAGCAGTCAGTGCTCTTAACCACTGAGCCATCTCTCTGGAAATAATCTTTTAAATAAATAAACCTTAGTAAGTAAAGAACGTCTCTGGCCCTTCACTGTTTTTAAAGTATAAGTCTATCCCAACTACGAGTCTTATTACTTTTGTCTTTGGAATACACAATGAAATGATATTCAAAAGCTATATGTCCTCTGCTATAAATCTAGGCAACCTTAGGCATCTTACACTATTTAGTGTCACACAACACATTTTATGTAAGTTCAGTAGTTAAGAACACCAACTGCTCTTCCAGGGGACCAGGATTCAGCTCCTAGCACCCACATGGTGGCTAAAGCTTTCCTCTGTCCCCTACAGGCATTGCATGCATGGGTGCACTTACATGCAGGCAAAACACTCATACACATAAAATAAAAATAAAATTAAAAAAAAATCAAAACAGGTTAAAAGAACCCACTCAAATGGATGTTTAAGTGAAGCCCCAAATGACAAAAGACAATTCAGCTTAACAATAACAGCAATGGAAGATACACTCTAATAAATTTCTAATTATTTTTGTCACTTGCAAACGTTATCCTCGTCAATGCAGATTATGTTTGTTTATTTATTTAATTTATTGTGGGATATGTGTATACCTAAGTGAGGGTGGGTGGGTGTGCATATGGAGGTCAGAGGTTGACAATAGGTCTTCCTCAATTACTCTCTGCCATAATAATTTTTAACATTTTATTTAATATTCATGCACCCTCCACACAACTTCCTCTCCCAATTTCATGTGCTCTTTTAAAAAAGATTTAATACCTACTGAGTTTATTTATGCATTCAGTATCTAAAGGGTGAACAGTTTTCACATACCTCAGATGTTTTCAGTTGTATATCTGAAATACTGTATGACAAACCTAGTCTTTCATCTTGTAAATCTAGCATCATGCCACTGCTACTTAAGACCTTCAATTGATGCTACATCTGGAATAAAATCCAAACCTACTAATGCAGCCTACAAGTCTGTGGTGCTTAGCTTTTACCTGTCTCTCCTCCTTACTCAAGATCCAGAGGCACCTGCATTCTTTCAGTTTCAGTACAACCCCGTTCTCAGCTTTTCTGCTCTGTTCCTTTCCCTTTGCCACACATGGCTCTCCTCCCACACCCTTCTTTCAAATCTTACCATAAACTTCACCTTTATAGAATCACATGTCTACTCGGTGATTCCCCAAACTCCTTCATTTCCTTCATACCCCTTTCACAATTTGCATTTCTTTATTATTCAGTTGTTTTCTGTACCCTCCATGGCCCTTTTATGGTTGGAGTTCCTCACTCCTGTACACCCAGGTCCATGCTTGGCACAGCCTAGATGATTATACAGTCTTCCTTCTACTAAGGTGGTATATTTTAGGGCCAGATCAGTCTTAAGACTCAATAGCTGATTTTCCTAACATCTCAGGTTATTTGTCTTTTTTTTTCTGGTATATTATTGTGTCTAAAGGCAGAGTTCCCACAGAATCTAGTGTATTTCTCTATGTTCAGTAAGAAAATTGAAAATAATCTAAATTTTTTTTTTGGTGGCTCTAAGATCACAGTGTTACGTAAGCACTGTGCCACTGAGCCTCCAGTCCAATCTAGCACCTTCAAGTGATTATGCATGCAGCATCAACAGCAGCAGAGAGCATCTCAGTAACCTTTGAGGTGTATGCCTTTTTCCGTTTTGAGCCTCCTTTTTCATTCTTTCTTTTGCCTTTTCCGTCTTCTTCTACTCTATCACCTTCTTCCTCACTGCTTGCATCTGCAGTATTTCCACCTTCTCCCTCAGTTTCTGAAGAGCTCTGCTGCTGAATCGTCTAAGGAAAAAATTGGCTAATTATATTTTGGGGAAAAAAAAGCAAAGAACATAGACTATGAAAAAAGTAATTTTTAATTTGAAAGACTTTAGCCTATTTTTAAAATTTCCAAAATAAATAACTATGAGAGCCACACATGGTGGCACACATCTGTAATTCCAGCCACAGGGTGAAGCAGGAGGATTACTTGAAGCTACTCAACAACACAGTAAAATCCTGGTTCAATTAATGAACCAAGAGCTACCAAACTCAAACTCTTAACTCAAAATCTTCTGCACAAGAATTACATGTAATCCAAAATGCCACTACAGTCAACAAGAACTCTGATTTCAAATAAGTGGGAGGTAATTGTTAACAGCAAGGACATTTTACAAGGATGTGTTAAGAGTTGAAAGCAAGTGACAATGATGCAAACCTTTACCTGGTACCCAGTAAATTTCACTCCTGGGTTATTTTCAATTTCCCATAAGCCTTCATTAAATCCTTTCCGTTTGTTTGACTTTCCAAACTTGTCTTTGTATTCCTTATATGGGAAGAGGTCTTTGGGACCTAGAAATGCACTGCAGAGATATATCAGAAATAGAATTGACATGCTGACCTTAAGTATATTTTAAATATCACTATCGACTAAGTTGTGAAAGCTATCACAATAAACTAATTTAAAGTATATATAAACCCTGTGAGTTAGGCATGTATCAGAAACATGTTTCAAGGCAATAAAAATGGATGTCTGAGGAGACAAACCAGCAGCCTTGGATTGTACTACTTTGCTTTTAAATTAATATGCTCTCTGTTTTAAAACTGATTTTTAATTACAGAAGTAGAACTAAAAACTCCTACACTCACCACTTATATCTTCTTAAACTAAGGTTTATCTATGTAAATTTTACTGTAGGTAAGGATTTGTGAAATTTAATAAAATATATAAATACTGGAGCAAAGAAAGGATTTTGATTCTATATAAATGCATTAAAATAATCATCCACTATTATTTCTGTAAATTGGTCACTAAGGAAGAAAAAAAACCAGAAGTAGCAAAGCAAACAAAATATTATTTAATTTAAATCTTATTCTAAATTAATTATAAGCATTAAAACTTAGTTAAATTCTGGAGCTAATATGATAGATATGAGTGCTCTAAACAGAATCTTTAGCATTATCAGCCATGATCTAGTAAACAAAACTATTGAGGCCCAAATTTGGGCTGATACCCTTGGGACTTATATTTCAATCCAAGCTTTATTTATCTATTCAGTCAAAAAATTCTGACTGAACATCTATAATCTGTTAAGCACTATTCCAGTGATGCTAGGCATTCCATAGAGAATTAGGCCCAGACACCTCTGGCTTCACAGAGCACATGTTTCAATAGTAGAAACAATAAAATGGTAAGTAAAACATAGAGTATGTGTATTACAAAAAAACAAAAACAACAAAAATACTTGCAGAGAAGGGTGGCATCTTAGTTTCCTTTTCTGTTGCCATGAAAAAAAAATACCCAGACCAAAGAGATTTCAGGGAGAAGGGGCTTATTTGGCTCACAACTCCAGGTTACAGCCCAGCATTGCAGGGAAGTCAAGGCAGCAGGAACTGGAAGCAGCTAGTCACATTACACTCACAATCAAGAGCAGAGAGCAGTGAATTAATGCATGAACGCTAGTGCTCAACCCACTTTCTCTACTCATCTAGTTCAGAATTCCCTGCCTAGAGAATGGTGCCACCCACACTGGATGGGTCTTCTCACCTCATTTAACTCAATTAAGAAAATCCCCCTCAGACCAACCGACCTAGACAATCCCTCACTGACTCTCTAGGTGATTCTGGACTGGGTTAGGTTGATAATTAAAATTAGCCATCACAGATGGGAAGGACTAGGGTTGATTTTTACAGTTTTAGCTATAAAGATTAGGGAAGACATCACTAGAAAGGGATCTATGTAAAGGAGGTAAAAGAACAACTTGTGCTGTTACCTGGGAAAGAACAGTGCCAGCAGGCTGAAGGAAGTACAAAGGCTCTGAGATGAGAGAACACTTAAATGTGTCTGAGAAACACAAAAGAGGTCAGTACAGTGAGTGAAACAAGGCAACGGAGCCATGCCAGGAGCATGGCTGAGGTGAGGAAAGCAGCAAGTTGCAATCAAGACAGTGGCCTTGGAAGCCACTGCAAAGGTGTTGAGTAAGATGGGAAGTCATCAAGGTTTTGAGAAGAAAAGTGACAATTTATGTTCAATAGCATCATTTTGGCTGCTGTGTCAGAAACTAACTGAAGGTTTAGATACTAGGACATAAGCAAGAAAAAGTTTGAAAGCTATTAAAGTAATGATGGTGATTGGTCTAGGTATACAATGTAGCTGGTAAAGAAGTGGTCAGATCCTGAATTTATTCTTAAGAACCAAGATGATCTGCAGATGGAGAATGGGTGAATTTGAGAGCATCTTCAAGGTTCCAGAATGAGAAATAAGAAATTGATATCCAATGAAATGTGAAGTTTTTTTTAAGACAAGATTTGTAGTGAAGCTCATTGTAAGTGTTTGTAATCCCAGTTAGATATTCAAGTGAAGATGTCAAAAAGGGAGTCAGAAAGACAGTTGTGGAGATTAAAGGAAAGCTCCCAGGTATAGATAGAAATTTGGAAATTATCAGCAAAGATATAATATTGGAAACTTTCAGATAACAGTTTAACAGTAGTTTAATGTTGATCTTTATAAACTCCACTTTGTGACTGGGTGTAGCAATGATCTTGGACATTGTCCAGCTGAGTAAAAAACAGAACAAATGTATTTACACTGAGTATGATGGTGCCAGTCTATACTGTACTTGGGAGGAGTGTGAGGCTAGCCTGGGCTACATGAGAGTCTGTCTAAAAAAAGGTCATAGTTTTACTTGACAAACAACATGAACATGAGAAAGAAATGCACACTGTGTACGGCTATTTCACTTTTCAAGAAATTTATGAATTATTATTGTCTTTGAGTTCCAACCACAGACTCTACGCATAGGAAGTAACTGTGGGCTAAACTGCCTCATGTTCACATATGCCAGGTGGCAAGCTCTTTAACGGTACTTTATTTCCAGTGACATAACAGAATGCCAAGAAAATAAATGCTTATGAAGGGAATGAGAATAATCATCCAATGTCAGTAAATGGTTGATTCAGTGCATACAGCAGAATGTGATGAGCTTTTAAAATTAACTTTTTCCTTGTATCAGAAAAGCAACAAGATCATTTGGCGATCAGAACAATTGTAAACACCTAAAATGGAGTCAGGAATGAGGCAAACAAAAAAAGTGTCAAAAAGCATTATGTACTTATAGGTAAAACATTGACTTCTGGGTGGAGAGATAGCTTGGTGGTTCAAGAGCACTGGCTATTCTTGAAGAGGACCCAGGTTCCATTCCCAGCACCCACTAACAACTGGTAGTAACTCCACTTCCAGGGGCTCTAACCCTCTCTTCTGACCTCCACAGACACTGAATAATATGGGTGCACTTATATATATCAGGCAAAACACTAATACACAGGTAAATAATAATTCTTTTTAAAAGCCAGGTGTGGTGTTACACACCTTTAATCCCAGCACTTTGGAGGCAGAGGCAGAAGGATCTCTGTGATCCACCCAGGTCTACATAGCAAATTCCAGCTTAAGTTACATAGTGAGACTCTGTCTCAAAAAACCAAACCAAACCAAACCAAACCAAACCAAACCAAACCAAACCAAACCAAACCAAACCAAACCAAACCAACCAACCAAAAAAAAAAAAAATTCAAACATAAAAACACCAAACAATTTACTTCTACGTTTTCTAGCTATCTAAGTGGAAAAGGTGATCAGTAGTACATATCACAGTATTTATTAGATGAAGGGGGGGTTGGAAAGATGGCTCAGCAGTTAAGAGTATTGTCTGCGCTTGCAGAGGACCCAGGTTCAAGTCCCAGCACCCACGTAGCGGCTAACAACTGTCTTTAATTCCAGGAGAATCCGACGCCCATTTCTGGCCTCTGTGGGCACTGCACTATACTAGTGCACCTACACACATGCAGGCAATACACGCATAAACATAAAATAAAAAATAATTAAAAAAAAAGAAAATAGGGCTGAGTACGTAGCTTAGCTGTAGCATGCTTACCTATCATGCTTGAAGCCCTGGTTTGATCCCCACCACACACGCCCACCATACATACCCACACACCCACCCACACCCACACCCACACACACTCACAAAAATAAAAAACAAAACAAACCCCCAAATGATACCAAAATACCCCTACCAAAAAAAATCCCAGCCGGGTGTGGTGGCACATGCCTTTAATCCCAGCACCCGGGAGGCAGAGGCAGGCAGATCTCTGTGAGTTCAAGGCCAGCCTGGTCTACACAGTGAGTTCCAGGACAGCTGGGGCTACAGGGAGACCCTGTGTCAAAAAAACTGAAAAAAAAAACCCACATTTCCTGAAAGAAACACAAGCATTTCTCACATGAAGGAATCTGTCTTAGAACTTTATCCTGGTTCTTTTAAGACTAGAATGAAGCAGATGTTAGAGTAGTAGAGACAGCAAGCTAAGAAGGTTCATGTCATGCTCTGCTAACATTCAAATGAAAATAAATGATGTAGTCATACTGTGTTTCAAGACTGCCAATTGTCCCCCAGTGTCATTCTTCTCTGTTTTTCATTAATGGATCACTTCTCTCAAAATTTAGCACTGCTCAGTTAGAGTCTATGTTTTCCAGATTCCCTTGTAGCTACATGTGAACACAAGGCCAAGTTCTTGCCAATGGAAGGAATTTTATGAAAGTGATATGTATGCCTTTATCATTTCCTTACAGGAAATTCCTTGCTCTTCACTTCTTTCTCCTTCTCTGTCTCTGGAAGATGCACATGTACAACTGAGGCAGGCTTATTAAATTTAAAAATAAGCAAACAAAAGTAACCCCAGGGAATGATAGGCTACGACAAAGGATACTGAATTCTTTAAAGTAAAGCTGTCAATTACCTTCCCCTACCTGCTGACTTCTGGATTATTTCAACAGAAAGAGATGTGTATATTATTGACCCTATAGGCTAATCAACATAATTAGAAAACATTGAAAAGGTAGCATATTTGTTAAGGGTCTAAGAAGTTGAGAGAGCTTGAGAGAATATAATTTTGTCCTGTGAAAAATGAGTGGAAGAAATTTCTCTAAAGGGGATATATACAAGATTGACAAAGAAGTTCCTGGGAGTGCTAAGTGAACTACTGTAAGACTTTTTAAGTGTCCTAAAAGAGATGTCTGACTGCTCTTCAATATTTAAACAGAAACAGAAATGGTACTCAAAGCAAAGATATGTTTTCAGCCATCAAGACTTCTATGAATGAAAACTTATTTTATGGTTTCAATATAAAATACCCCCCTGCCCCAGGTTCATGTGTTTGAACATTTTCCTAGATGGTAATGCTATTTTGGGAAGTTGTGTAATCTTAGGAGGTGGGACCAACTCCACTACCATGTAAAGACTGCTACCACCAAACATTCCCACTGACAAAGACTCTACCATTCCTTCTCTGATGTGTTGGACTGAAATCCTCTAAAATTCCTGAGGCAAAATAAACTTTTCCTTTCTAAAGGCGTTTCCTGTCAAGTATTTTGTTACAAGAAAAATTAACCAATATATAGTACATTAAGAAAAACATGTTTAAGTTTGGCTGCTTTATAAATTGGTAGGACTTTAATAACATAAAATATTATAGATCATGTATAAGCATGTAATCTAATAGAGTCAAATTAGTGTTGTTGAAACTTTAAGCTATTTTGTTAACTTACGTTTCATGGGTACCAAAAAAGAAGATAGGATACTTGTTTGCTGGAGGCTTCACAGCTCCCTCTGGGAGTTCATCAATCTATTAAAGATAAATTTAGTTATGAAATAGTACTATAAATACAATATAAACATTGTTTTGATAATTTATTGCCAATTTCAAAATAAAAATTAATCAAAATTCTAATAGTGTCTCTTTTCTCAAACCTAGTGGAATGATTCTAAAGATCATATTTGGCCTACTATATATAGAAGTTAAAACTATAAATTGATTATATACATTAAAATTCGACAGGGGCTCAGACTATTCATTTCCTTTGGCTCAACAGAATTACTTCTGGAAAACTGTTCTAATGAAGTAACAAAGAAACAAAAGATATACTTTAAAGTAATGACAAATAAGTAGATATCCCAGAAACATCCATGTTACAAGATAGGAAAGCTATGAAAACTTGATGTTTACTTGATGATGTATTATGTACTCACTGAAAGATATCATTATTGGTCTAGATGACAAATTTCCCTCTCCATCCATAAATGCTAGAATTAACTTTTAAGATGCACATTTATAATTTCACTTCCATGTTTCAAATTCTATAGCTTTGTGTTGCTTACAACATTCTTAGCTGTGTATCTGAACCACTACTAGAGCTTTTAAAAATAAAGTAAGTCAATCCCTCCCAACACCCATTAATTCTTAGGGCAGCTAAGGTTGAAAACTTCAGATAGGATAAGGTCCAAATTCTTTAGAATATTTCAAGAAACAGTCATTTATCTCCTCATGTTATGATACATACTTACATATATCTATAAGCACACTATTAAAATTTTTGTTGTTGCTGTTGAGACAGGGTTTTACACTGTAGCTCAGATTGGACTAGAACTCACTACATAGCCCTGCTGTCCTCTAACTTGTAATTTCCTGCCTCTACCTGCTGAGTGCTGGGATTACAAGTACATACTGCCATGCCTAGCTAGGCATGCTATTTTTATTCTCACAGGCTTCTCTGATGACTGAGCTTCTCATTTTTCAGAAATGCATTGTTCAATTACAAAAATGAATATTTACAATAACAAAATAAGCTACAAGAAATTGCCACCAATTTCCCAAAATGCTTATCCAGAGTGTTTTCTAGTTATAATACAACTTCCAGCGCCACCTTGTACATTTCAACCCCCTACATTCACAAGGGTTCCTGACTGAGGGGCTCTGAAATTTAAGATTTGTTAGCATAATAAATCTGCTTGTTGGCCATGTTTTTCTCTGGAAGCCAGATCTGGGTACAAGTCCTGTCACCTTTTGGCTATGTGATCTTGGGCTAGTTACTCGACTGTAGTTTCTTCATCTTTTCATCTGATATAGTGTCATGTAGCTAATGACACTCATATTGTTGCTGTGACTATCAAATGAAAGGCAGTTTAGAATTCCTAACACATACCACGTTCTCAATGAATGTCAGGTTATCATTAAACGATGAAACTCTGTAGGGACTCTATCTTACATAAAGCCCCTGCAGGATACACATATGCATGTGTGCATGTGCATGTGCATGTGGAGGCCTGAGGTGGATGCTGGTTGTCTTTCTTCAATCGCTCTCCACCTTTATTTTTTTGAGACAGGGCCTCTCACTGAACCTTAAGTTCACTGATTCACTTAGGCTGGCTCGTCAATGAGCTTCAGGGATGTGTCTGTCTCTGTTCTACACCCTAAGGCTAGGGTTTCAGGCATGTGCAACAAAATCCAGCTTTTTATGTGCATCCTGGGAATCCGAACTCAGGTCCTTTTACCAAAAGAGCGATCTTCCCAGCCCATGTATTGTATTAAAAATTTATCCCTACTACCATGGTTTAAGTGTATCCTTCAATGGTTGGTATGTTGGAAACTTGGTCCCCAGTTTGGTGATGTGAAGAGGTAGTGGGACCTTTAAAAGATGGCTCTATTGGGAGGCAGAGATCACAGTAGTTCTCCTGGGGCCCCCAAGTTAGTTCTTCCAAGAATGAGCTTTCTTTCTTTTTTCTTTTTTTCTTTGGTCTTTTTGAGAGACAGGGTCTCCCTGTAGTCCCAGTTGCCCAGCTGGCCTGGCACTATGTAGACCAGGCTGGCCTCGATCTCACAGGGATCCACCTGCCTCTGCCTTGCGAGTGCTGGGACTAAAGGCATGCCCAACCACTCAAGGAAAGAATGAGCTTTCTTTATTTAAAAAAAAATTTTTTTACAAAAACTTTATTGAGAATTTCATACATGTATATAAGGTGTTTTGATCAAATCCATGCCCACTCCCTCCCCTCCAACATTCCCCTCTCTGAAGAGGTAACCCTAAAATCTTTTAAGGATTAGATACAAGCTTCCAAATACTTTTGACATTTTTGGCCTTGGACAGAGTATGTTGCTAACAGGCCCAAGGACATTTTGATTTTTGCCAAGAAACTGGCTACATTTCTTTGGGGTCTTTTTACCCTAACTGCCTAGCCAATTCCTACCTCCTATTCTTACCACACCATCCTCTGAAGGGGTTACCCTAATTGCCAATAGGGAATTAAAAAAAAAAAAAGAATGAGCTTTTGTAAAAGCTGGCCTCTGAATCATGCCATGATTTCCTATCTTGCTATGCAGTATTTCCCTCTTGATACATTTCTACCTTTATGATGTCATTCACCAAGATGTGATGAAGTGAAGGGGCCCTCCCAGAATTGGTAAGATGCTGTATGGACTTTCAGCTTCCCCAAACTATGAGTTAAATCAACCCCATTCTTTTACAAATTATCCAGTCTCAGCTAATTTGTATTAGTCATGGAAAATTAATTCATTTACCTATCTAGCATAAATAGTGGCAAACAGTGGTTATCAATTAATCTTTGTTGTCATAACGAAAAGCCTGTATGAATTAAAATGTTTAATATTATAATGGAAAAATGTCATGAGTTTGTGAAGAAAAAATGAAACTATGTACACCATTGATACAATTATATGCATCTAATTTTAATATATATTTTAAGACACATCTGCCTCTTTCTGTGGTTCTTGTATGCGAACTGTAGTAAGTCTTGTGATTAACATGAAAATCCTCTAAATCTGCAGACTTTTTGTATTAAAATTGAAAAAACACATCAACACCAGCTTGCTTTCCTAATTCTTCTAAAATTCTATTTATTTATTTTTATTTTATGTGTATGAGTGTTTGTCTGCATGTGTGTAAGTGCACCTGTGTCATGCAATGCCCACAGAGGTCAGAAGAGGGTATTGGATTCACTAGAACTGGAGTTAGGGATGGTTGTTAGCCTAACTTCCCTGGAGTTAGAGATGGCTGTTACGGAATCTCTGCAAGAGCATCCAGTGCTCTTAATCACTGAGCCATCTCTCCCATTTTCCTAATTCTTTAAAGAAATATTATGCTATATTAAGTACAAATGACTTTTAGGGAAGAATTCTTACAGAAATGGGTAATTCAGAAGTGTTTTATACAGTAATAAAATTCAAGCTGTCAAAGTAAATTCTTGGATAACTCAGACTGGTTTGATAATTTTGTTCTAAAAACAGCTATTTTATGCCAGGCGTGGTGGTACACGCCTTTAATCCCAGTACTCGGGAGGCAGAGGCAGGGGGATCTATGTGAGTTCAAGGCCAGCCTGGTCTATATAGTGAGTTCTAGGACCGCTGGGGCTACAGGGAGACCCTGTCTCAAAAAGACAAAAAAAAAAAAACAGCTATTTTGCCTGCCTGGACAAATAGGTCACTGTGGAGTGCAATGTAAGTAAATGTTTTGGTATTTAAGATGTATTTGCTTTTTTGTGATGACACTACTGACAACTGAATCTTAAATTTTTTATATGGTCAAACTAATCACTTCCATATGATATTTAATATTAAGGAAAATGTAAACGAATTACAATTCTGACAACTGTGTTTGAAAAGGTCTCACTATGTAGCCCACACTGGCTTCAAATTCATGGTCCTCCAGACTCAGCTTTCTGAGTGCTGAGATAACAGGCATGTTCTACCACACTTAGCTTAACTTTGTGGGTGTGTAGACACATGTGTATGCAAGCATGTGTGCCATGCATACTGGTGCAGAGACCAGAGGGTGTGGGGTGTCCTCTTCTACAGTTCTCTGCTTTATTCCCTTGAGCAAGGCTCTCACCAGCCTCCCTGATTCCCATGCTGGGGTTATAGGCATGAGCAGCCACATCTGGCTTTTTATGTAGGTTCTGGGGATCAAAACTCAGGTCCCTCAGGCTTGTGCAGCAAGTGCTCTTACCTGCTGAGCCACTTCTGCAGCCCCGCAACTTAAAAAAATATAACAATAATTATGTTCTGTGTGTTAATCATAACTCCCAGTATTTAAGACTATGGACTACCATTAAACTGAATTAACTAATGGATAATCTGTGTGTTGAATAATTGCTAAGTGAGAATATGGATTTGTTGGCTATTGAATATAGTTTTGTTTGTTGACTTTAAACTCATTATACAGTTAAAGATAATCTTGAACTTCTCATCCTCCTGCCTCCACAGCCCAAGAAAATGCCTCACAGACATGGCCATAGTCTAACAGAAGCCAACTGAGGCCCCCTTTACCCAGGTGTGCCAAGTTGACAACTAAAGCTATTCAGCACAGGTACTAAGGCTCCTCCCTAGGCAAAATTTCTTCTCTCAGAAGTACTCATAAAGAACTCTCTTACTTCATTCACATCTCTGCTCAACTATTAACTTCATCAGAGAGACTCCTTTTACAACCTACTTGAATTAGCATTTCTTTCTCTATTATTCTCTATTACATTTTTCTGCTTTATTATTTTTAACATTTTTCTGACATGGGAATATACATTTGTATATATTTGTCTCTTGACATTAGAATAATTTCTGTTGGGGGAACAGTTTTGTTTTATTTACCACTGTAATCCTACTGCATACAATAGTGCCTGACAATGGCAGGTACATAATAAAAAATCCTTGAATGAAAGTCCTAAGTTTAGTCCTCTGTGTGCTGTGTGTATATAAAAAGAAAAGAGAAGGGAGAAATGTGCTGAATGAGGGCTGGGGAGATGGCTCAGAGGGTAAAAGTGTTTGCTGGCTAAGCTTGC